AGTAGTCTGCAGGTACGCTGTCTTCGGGTTCTGCGGCCTCATTTTGGTGGTATCGTGACCGGGCCTGAAAGCGGGAGACATTAAGCTGCACGGAGCTGAGCGCTGGTGTCCTGTGGCTGCCACCGGGGTTGCTGCGGCGGCAGCTACTCTGTGCAGAGGCTCCTGGCGGAGACATTGTTTACAAAACTGCCAAGCAGGGGCGCCTGGGTGGCTCAGTCGGTTAAGCGTCAGCCTTCGGCTCAGGTCATGTCCCCAGGGTCCTGGGATCGAGCCCCGCGTCGGGCTCCCCGCTCAGTGGGAGGCCCTCTCCCTCTCTACCTGCAGCTCCCCCTGCTTCTGCGTGTGTTCTCTCTCCCTCCGTCAAATAGATAAACAAAGTCTTTAAAAAAGAAAGAAAGAAAACTGCCAAGCAGGGAAGAGCAGGCAATTGAATGGACATCCTGGGAAAGGAGGAAGTCACGAGCCGGGATCGGGGTGGAGGCGGGCAGTGAGGGCCAGTGTGCGCAGGGTGACAAGGTCAGTGGTTTCCAGCTCCTCGTGCAGTGACCAGTGCTGGGCTCTTCACCTCCCTTCCCGCTCCCTGCCCCTTCCCCAGCCCTGGTTTGTCTCCGTCCTGCAAACCACAGCCAGAGGTCCGCGTCCTCCAGACTCTGCTGTCTGTCACCTCTGGGGCTCAGTGTCATCAGTTTTCATTTCCATTTTATGAGTGATAACGTTCACATTCAAAAATGCAAGTAAAGACAAGATGCAAACTGAAATCAGCAGTCAGAGAAAAGCAGTGTCAACATTTTAGCAAGCGCTCTGGCACACTGCCGTTCCTCAGTGGGTACGTACTGGTGAACAAATGAGCTTGCACTGCCCTTGTGTTCTCGTGATCTCCTTTTAAATATGTTAAGAAATGAAACAAGGTTCATTTGGGGCAATTTGGAAGCCCACAGGCACAGGTCCTGTGCAAAGCCCACACGAGCTTACCCACGTGGCAGGGACCGGGCTGGAGCTCCCAGGCTCGTTGCACATCATTCTCCCCAGGTGCAAGGGTGACGGTCATCAGGCTGGTGGGGACGGTCTCATGGCTGAACGCACTGATCTCGACCCCCCTCATTCTGTCTTCCTAGATCCCCGCCCTTTGTCCGGGGCAGAACAGGATGGCCACGGCCCAGGTGAGTGCCGAATTTCCCCCTTCCCTTGCTTCCAGGGCACTTGAGGCAGCTTTGGGGTACCTGTGCCGTACCCCTGACAGATCTGTCGCTCCCTTCTGCCGTGGCTGTTTTCCATTCAAGCCGTAATCCACCTCCGGTTTCTCCGATCCTTCCCCCTGCCACAAAAACCCAAAATAGAAAACAAGAAAAGAGAGAAGGAAAGTGACTGTTCTCATCTACTTCTTCCTCTGGGAAACGCACCTCCTCGTTGTTCTTCCGCTTCTCAGGGAAGCTCGTTGAAGCCCATAGACTCGCTTTTTCTGTGTCTTCGCTTCCACCTCACTGTTTGCTTTTTCGTTATATTCAAATAATGAAAGTCAGTCCATGCTTGACGTTCCGTGCGCTGAAGAACGGTCACAGCATCCCTATTTCTTCTGCCCCCGGGGCCACGTTTCTCCTCAGAGTGCCCCCTGGTAACAGTGTGGGGACGGTGTGGGGCGGCTGCGTTTCTGTCCGCTTCAGGAGCTGACAACAGGTCCATAGGCCGTGGTGGGTGAGTGTGTGCACAGATGCCGTGCCAGCCCCGCTCCCATCTTGTTCTTCCCGCCTGGTTCTACCCTGGGTGGTGTTGCTCCTCGGTGCAGAAAGAAGATTTCCGTTTGCATGCGGTGCTCCGCATGTGTCATTCAACTGTTGCTCTCTTTGTGCATAGTCAGCATTTGGATGTTCTTTTTCTGTTCTGTACGGTGCCTCTTGGATGACTCTTTATGTGTGTGTTCAATAGTGCGGGTATTTAAGGAGGATACACCTAGAAGTTGGATTTTGGGGTCAAAGGTATTCGTACTTGAATCGGCTGTCCCAAATCCTAGACTAATTACGACTCTCCCAAAACGTTAAAGACCAGATAATTTCTGTGTTCAGCTTTTCCAGGCTGTTGAAAGTTGAAAAGGAAACCAGTTGGTTTTATGGAGCCACTTACCTTTAAATTTGATAAAGATATTCCAGAAAATAAGTGATACACCTGATTCACTTGAGACCATGGACGTCAAGATTCTAAACACATAGTCTGAACGGAGTGTTGATACGGTGACTCGAGCGCTGTGAAAAATGATCTGTACGTATGGTAAAAAATTCACAACAAAAGCTTGTTTAACAAAAGGTGAAAAGTAATTCTCCCCGTCACCCCATGCCCCGTGTCCTTCCTTGTTTCACACGTTCTTGGCGAGATCACGTATGCACGTGTCTTTGCACCTAAGGATGCCGTTGGCTTTGGAACTCTTCCTTCTTCACATATTCCAGCACATTCTGGACTTTGCCACGGTCATTCCGTCCCACTGTGTGTTTGAACAGCCCCGGGTTTTTCCACCTGGGCCCGCTTGACATTTGGGGCCAGGCAGTGCCGTGTTGTGGAGGGCGGCTGTGTGCCCTGGATGCTATCTGACCGTCCCTGCCCCGGGCTCCCCTGATGCCAGTGTCCCCACCTCGTCCCCCTCCGTGGTGACAGTGAAGAGTTTCTCCAGACGTTGCCGCCCGTTCCCCGAAGGGTTAAAACACCCCCGGGTGGTACCCCGTTTCCAAAAATGGCTCTGTGATATTCCACTGGCTGGAAATACCGTCCCGTGTATTTGCCTTCTGCCGGGGCTCTACGTTGAGGATAGTCTTGTCTTTTGACATCATAAACGATGCGGCGACACTCAGCCGTGTACGGTTCCGTCTGTTCCTCGTGAGCTCGTCTCATCTGCAACATAGCTGTCTGGAGGTGAGGATTCTAGGTCAGAGGCTCTGCGCATCGTGAATTTTGGCAGCTGAGGGCCTCCGAGCCAGGTGTTCCCCTGCGCTCACCAGTGTGGTCTTGGTCCCCAGCCACCTGAGCTGTCACTTGGGAGGGGTGACAGGAGGGGTGGCTGCTCTGAGAGCCCCACCTTCCCGTCACTGTCCTGCTGCCCAAGGCGTGTCCCGGCTCGTCTCCATCTGCAGCGCTGAGTAGCCGGCTGCCCCGCGAGGCCTGTTGGGGCCCTGTGGGTGCCACCTGTCTCCCGGACTGAAGACCGGCCAGTGGGGGGCGGGCAGGAGGAGATGCAGGTGTCAATGGGGGGGGGGCGGGGGGGGAGGGTCCTGCTCTCTCTCTGATAGGAATGTGGGCCCTCAGAAAAGTGAGCGTTGTTTTGGTGCCACCAGGACCAAACACACACCTTTCCTTCCTTACCTCAGTGTGCTGACCAGGTCAGACTGCCACCCTCCTGCTTCCTGTTCCCTCTCGTGGTGGATTAGGCACGATTAGCAGTCGGGTGACCGTGCAGCCGCCTTCTGTAGGGAAACAGCCCGGTCCTTGCCTACTGTGTCTTCCCTGCCTGCCTTTCTCCAGCATGTCTTCTCTGCCCGCACACAGAACACTTTATCTCTGACACTTCTGGTCACCAGATGCGGAGAAGGTTTCCGCGCACCAAACAACTCGCTGCCGCACCAGATGGGTGTCCTACACGTAACTCAGCTTTGACACTATCTCCCTGGAGATCGCATCGGATCCCACAGGTTAAGGGTTCAGTCCCACCACACAGCCGGCCCCATGCCCCCCATCAGATGCCAGCCCCGAGTTGCAGGCCTTTGACCAGCGGGCTAGAGGTCAGAGGTCCAGTGACGCCCTCCTGGGATTCGATTATCTGCCAGAGCGTCTCACAGGACCCGGGGACACGCTGACTTAACATTTACCAGTTTGTTAAAGGGTATGATGAAGGATACACACAAACAGCCAGATGAACAGATACACAGGGCAAGGCCTGGGAGGGCCCTGAGCACAGGAGCCTCTGTCCGTGTGGACTTGGCAAGCATCATCCTCCCGGAATATGGATGTGTTCACGCGCCGGGAAGCTCCCCGAAACCCATGCTCTGGGGATTTTATGGCGGCTTCATACCGCAACTCCGATCAGTGGTTAACTCCATTTCCAGCCCCTCTTCCATCGCTGGAGAAGGGTGGGTGGGGCTGAAAATCCGGAGCTTGCAGTCACAGCGTGGCCTTTCCGGTCTCCGGCCCCATCCGCTCACCTCGAGTCCCCTCATCAGAACACGAGATGCTCCTTGTATTCTTCTCACATGGGGATTTGTCAGGGTCTTAGGGGCTCTGCAACAGGGACCTAGAGCCAAGAGCAGTACATATCTCCTATTACCTCACAGTCCTGACCGAGGAGCTGTGTTCGGAACTGTTGGCATAGCTCTGTGTCCCCTGTGAAGCCTTCTCTGCCTGCCCCGAGCCAAACTGACTGCTCTGTAGGCTCCGTTCCCTGTTCTGCCTCTGCCATTGCCCTCGGAGGACAGGCAGCCCGCCCCCCCGCCCTCCCCCCCTTTTCCCGGGTGCCTTGGTAAGTGTGGCGTTTCTCCCCCTACTAGGGGAAGCGCCCTCGGTTCAGAGAGGGTGTGTTTGTTTTCATCATTCCTTGTATGCTCTGGACTTAGCAGCTTGATCTGTGTTCAGTCAGGGAGCTGAAAGATTGCATTTCCAGAGGAAGCTCTCTTTACCACCTCTTCTGTTTCTTTATAACGTTTAACGTAATCTAGGTGGCATAAACGTTGCATCCCCTATACGGTCTCAGATCGTGCGGCGATCAGCAGGGAACAGTTGCGTCGAGAAAGGCAGTGCGGTGTCGTGTTGAAGGACGTGGGTGTGGCGAGCAGAACGCGTGCATTTTCGTCCCTCTGTCCTCGCTGTGTGACCCTGGGCAAGTGACTTCCCACTCTGTGCAAAGCCAGTCTGTCCTCCTCTGTCTGGGGTGTCCCGGGGCGGGTGCCAGATTGAATCTATGCTGCGTGCGGAAGTCTGAGGATGGGACGCAGGGTCCCGATCCCCGAGCCCAGCACTCCGGGCTCATGAGGAATGTGCCGTTGCAGGAATCCTTGACCTTCAGGGATGTGTTTGTGGACTTCACCCTGGAGGAGTGGCAGCAACTGGACTCCGCTCAGAAGAACCTCTACAGGGATGTCACGCTGGAGAACTACAGCCACCTGGTGTCCGTGGGTGAGGGACGGCTGCGCAGCGTGACTGGGCCACGCGCGCTCGTGTCACCTCAGCTGCTGCCCGCTCCGGGGCCTCCGGAGCCCGGAATGAGCTGGGGCCTCAGGCGCACCGCTGGGAAGCCAGAGCCCCGTGTGCACCCCGCCCAGGGTGTCTGTGCTCTCGCCCTCTCGGTGACTGGTCTGCACTGAGGGGCACAGCGCCGTCCTCGGGGGGCGCGCGCCGAGGCCGGACCGTCTCGGTTGGCAAGGAGAGGCCCCGGTTCCGGAACGCCTCTGGCATTACTAACGACGTCTGTGTCATTTCCCCTCCTCAGGATACCTCGTTGCCAGACCGGAGGAGGTCTCGAGATTGGGGCGAGGAGAAGAGGCCAGGAGGGCAGAGGGAGGGCCGTCCGCGCCGAATTTTCCAGGTGAGCCCGCACGCGGCCCGTCGGGCCAGGGCAGGGGACCCAGGAGGTCAGCGAGAGCCGGGCGTCAGGGGCGGGCCTGGGGGCTCTTCTCAGAGTTCCTAGACTCGGGGACCTGACTTGGCTTCGATGAAACCAGCCGCCGTGGGATGCACGTGACGCCCCCCCGCCGCCCTTCCGCAGCCCCCTTGTTCTGCTTGGGGTTCAGGTCCCAAGTCCGCCTCCCGGTATCCTGGGTGGCCTCCCCCCTTTCCTGCTCCCCCTCCTTCCTGGAAGCTTTGAGGGTGTTTCCCCTCCCGTGGGCATTTGCCTTTTGCTCACAAGAGATGTGCCGTGGGTGTGACGCGTCCTCTCTGTCGTCCTGTGGGCCCCTCACATCTGACGCTGGGAGTCCTCTTCAGCCTCAGGGAAGCCATCCCGCCTGGCTTGCTGGAGCTGGTGGGGACCGGAAGCTTTGCTGGTGGCCTCCAGCTCGGCCGGGCCGGGCCGGGCCGCCCCCGTGCTCTCTCCGCGCTCCTGTCGCGCTCAACCGCGTCAGCCTGCACGGGACCCAGGCCTCGCTTCTCAGTCCCTCCGTCTCTCCCGGATGGGACCCGACGCCGCCTGTCGTCAGCTTCCTGCTCTAGTCACTGCCTCCCTCCCACTCGCCTGTTTTGTCCTCCAGGTCCTCTCTGTCTTTCCCCAGAGCACAGGGGACCCGGAGAGGACATGCGTCCCCGGCGGCCTGCTTCAGTGAGCGCCGCCTCCGTCCTGGGCACAGCGGCTCTTGGCCTCCTCCTCTGTGGGTTTGGTTGGTTTGGCTCTGGGCCCCTTGTGGGGATCCACACACTCTTCAGATGCCGGCCTTCCTCTTCTTCTGGCGCGCTCCCAGCGGCCGCTCCGGGCGCCCGCCCTGGACGGCTTCCCCACAGCCCACCTCTGCTGGGCTGGGCACCCTCTCTCTGCCGGGGCCTCCCCGGGCTGGCCTGCACCTGCCTCTCCCACGGCTGTTCGGGGGCACAGCGTCCTCTCCGTGCTCCGTCAGCCCCGTACCCGCTGCCCTGTGCAGATCGATCCGCATTTCTGCTCTGCTCGTGGCCTGCTTTTGCCTGCCTCCGGGGCGTCCGGGAATTGAACTGGCTGAGTCTCGTTCTCAGTTCAGTGGTGCCCTGGAAGGAGGAAGCGCACGCTCAGAGGCACAGCCCCCTCCCTGAGTCCGGTAACCTTACGGGAAAACCTGTTCTGTTGGAAGGAAGTGTACCCACGTTGGGTGTGCGTGCAGGGCAGTCCGGGACCCAGGTCATGTCAGCACATTCCCAGCCACACCTCCACGTTCTGCCTCTTCTCAGGGTTTCCCTTTGTAGTTCTGCGGATGGGCACCTCCTGGGTCCCGGGAATCCCTTCATACCTGCGTTTCTGGAGATTCCTATTTTATCTCCCCTCTATGAAAACTCAGGATTTATCTCAGTTCCACCTTGGCCTTCTCCTCAGCTCTTCACAATGCTTGTCAAGTTCTTATTTGTAGTTTCTCTGTTGGTTACATTTGTTAAGTGTAAATGATAGAGCTCAGCTTCTGTGTCTGCATTCCATCTGGTAACTCTCTCTAAACCTAGCTAAGCGTCTGTGGCTTATTGTCTGCCTAGAACACAGAACCCTAGAGAGAATGCCTGCATCTTATTCTTACCTGTCGCGGTGTGGGGCTGGTGGAACATTCGATAAATGATCTTTCCTTTTGGAGGAGGGCAGAGGAAGGAGGTTCGGTGCTCACCCACAGCCGGGGGTCACTGGCTCCGGCTTTGGAGCTCACAGCCCAGACTGGATTTCTGGCTTCTTTGCTCGCTAGCTGTCCCTCTGCACACTCGCCTCGGAGCCTCTTTGCCTGCTTGTAGAGCGGGGCTAATGCTAGAACTTACGGGATTGTCAGGGTTGAATGAGTGGATGAATGTAAAGCACCAAAAGTGGTGCCTCGACCCCCGGGAGCTTTCGGTAGTGGTTATCGCTATTTTTATTGTTGTTTGTAATAGAACAAGTCTTATACTACAGTCTTTGTCAACCCGAGGCATTCACATAGTGACCTGTGGACCCCACCGGATCCTCACGGTTAGGCCCCACCCGATGGAAATTGTTCCAGAAAGCCCCGGGTGGTCCCGGTTCTGTGCACTGTGAGGGACACTGCAGATAGCCCGACGCCCATGGCCAGTTAGGATCCACCGTTTTAAATATCCCCAGAGGAGGGTTCAGAGGTTCGGGAGACACGGCCAGGCCTCACCGAGGAGCATGGGGTCGGGGGGAGGAGACGACAGGAGCAGGTGGACAGCGTTTTCTCTTCCGCCATTCCTCCAGACTTCAAGCTGCTTCGGGACTGCATATTCCCCTGGGCCTATAGGAGATTTCTGGCAGGTCCCAGAAATTCTCTGGTTGTTCCTGATGGGGCTCCTGGGTGACTCAGTCAGTTGGGTGTCTGACTCTTGATACTGGCTCAGGTCGTGAGCTCAGTGTCCAGGGCTCCAGCCCTGCATCGGGCTCTCCTCTCAGTGGGGAGTCTGCTTGTCTCCCTCTCCCTCTGCCCCTCCCCCTTTTTGCTCTCTGTGTCTCTCTCTCTCAAATAAATAAATAGATCTTTTAAAAAAATTCGCTGGTTGGTCTGAGAGAAATCTTCTAGGAACGGTTAGTCTCGAGTGGCCTCACTCTAGTAATCCAAATTGTCCAGTCCCACGGAGTAGGGTGAAGTCTGACGTTCATCAAAAGGTTGTTGAGCTTTTCACGGAAAGGTCTTTGCCTTTGTGAATTTTCCCTGGCTCTGGTTTTCCGTTTTGTTCACTTCTCCTTTTACCTTTATTTCCTTTTTCCTACTTACTTTGGGTTTACTTTGCTTTCTTTTTTTTTTTTTTTTAAATTTTATTTATTTATTTGACAGAGAGAGACATAGAGCAGGAATACAAGCAGACGGAGTGGGAGAGGGCGAAGCGGGTTTGCCGCTGAGCAGGGAGCCCGATGCGGGGCTCGATCCCAGGACCCTGGGATCATGACCTGAGCCAAAGGCAGACGCTTAACGACTAAGCCATCCAGGCGCCCCTACTTTGCTCTTCTTTATCTAGCCTTTCCCCCCAACATTTTATTATACAAATTTTCATACCAAACAAGTGAAAGATTTATAGTTTGAACCCCCACAGAACTCCCCCCGGAGTCTACAATGAACATTTTGCTGTCTTTGCTTTTTCTTCTGTCTGTGTACTAATTCCTCTGTCCTTCCATCAGTCCTCTTTCCTTTTGTGATGAGTTTCTTGGTAAGTTTCAGAGATCGGTACCCTTCACCCCTAAATATTTCCACAGGCGTATCATTAACTAGAGGTCACAACTTTTTAATACTGTTTTTTCTTAATGCTTAATAGGTATTTTAATAAAAGGAAATTCATAAATAGTACCGTACGGAATTTGGTTGTATGTAATAATGTTTTAATGAATTCCCATATGTGTTTTCATTACATATTTATGCAGATGTGACTCTTCCTTTTTTAAGTGAGGTTTATCGAGGTATAACTTATATACCCTGAAGTTCACCTTTGTTAGATGTATGATTCTATACATTTAACAAAGATTTAGTCATGTAACCACCAACACCATCAATATATTGGACCTCTTCATTCCCCTAAAGCATCCCTTTGTGCCCCTTTGTAATTACAATTCTTTCTCACTTCAGTATCTGGGATTTGGATTTGGATTCTTCTCATTTCTATTCTTCTAGTTTTATTCTTTCTAGAATATCATATAAATGCATTTCATAGTAAATAATTTTATGTGTCTTGCCTCTTTCACTTAATGCTTTTTAGATTCATCCATGTTTGGTATATATCCGCATTTGGTCCTTTTTGAAGGTAAATAATGTTATATTTGTTTATTCACTAAGCAGTTTACGCACATTTGAATTTTTTGAATTTTTGGTTATTATGAAAGAAGCTGCTATGAACATTCATGTCCAGGTGTTTGTATGCACACTTATTTATCTTCTTAGGTAAATATCTGGATTGGGATTGCTTGGTCATATGGTGAATGTATGTTTAACTTCACAAGACAGCATCACACTGTTTCCCAGCACGGCTGTACCATTTTTGTTGACCATCGACAACATGAGAGTTCTAGGTGTTTTGCATCATTGCTAGCGCTTGGTATTATGAGTATTGTTAGTCTTTCTAGTGCTTGTGTTGGAGCATCTCATTTTGATTTTAATTTGCATTTCTCCAGTAACTAATGTTTAGCGTCTTTTCATGTGCTTATTAGACATCTCTACATCTTGGGTGAACTGTTTGTGGTAACTTTTTGCCATTTTTGTTGCTATCAAATGGTTAAGAGTTCTTTATATATTCTGGATGCAGGTCCTTTAGCAGCTATGTGTTTTCCATGTATTTACTTCCAGGCTGTGGCTTGTGTTTATCTTAATAGGATCTTTCAAAAAAAAGACATTCTTTATTTTGATAATGCCCAGTTTATCAAGCTTTTCTTTTATGATCCATGCCTTTTGTGCCCTATTAAACAATTCTCTTTCTAATCCTAATCCATGGTAGCAAAGAGTTTCTCATATGATTTCATTCAGAAGATTTACAATTTTTAGCTCTTATATTTAGGCCAATGGACATAATGAGAGAAGTATTTTTTACCTGGTGTGAGGTAAGGATCAATGTTCTTTCTTTTGCCTATGCATATTCAATTATTCCAGCAGCTTTTTTGAAAATACTGTATTTCCTCTATCAGTTTACCTTGGCTCCCTTGTTGAAAACAGTTGAACACGTATGTGTTGATCTGTGTGCCTTTACTGCACTTCTTAATTACTATAGCCTTACATTTAGTGTTCAGATCAGGTGGTATGAATCTTCCAGCTTTGTTCTTCCTTTTCATAATGTCTTGGCTATTCTAGGTCCTTGATAGTTTCAAATAAATTTTAGCATCAGCTTGTCAGTTTCTACATAATAGCCTGTGGGGATTTTGTTTGGGATTGCATTAAATCTGTGGATCATTGAAATACCAATATTGAGTCTTCCAAT